GTTAGTATTTGAAAATTGAGTGTTTGAAAGAGTTTAAATACATAATATCTTTTTCAGTAAGATAAATAACTGAGTGAAGATTTAAGAATAAATTAGAAACTTAAAAAAAAAAAAGTATTTTTTCTATTTGTTGTAAAATAATAAATATTTAACTATTAAATTAATTATTTTATTTTATTTTATACATTCTTGGGGAGAATTAGTGTCGGAGGGAATACCAGCTTTCCAGAGTCCAAAATAGTCAGTGATAACTATTCTTTATCCATCCTTGGGCGACTCTAGTCAATTTTACAAAATTGAAGAGACCAAGAATCCTTATATTTGACCATAGGTAGTCAGCTTGAAGAAATCAGTTGCTTGATTAATCCACCAACTTTGCATCAAACAGTGAATCAATCAAATTATAATTATAAACGTGTGAAACCCTAGTCTAATAGACAAGGAAAGAAGCTCAATTTTCTTTTTAATCAAGATTTGATACTTGAGGAAAGGAAGGAACTGGGGGTGGGTAAGAGGCAGTCCATCATTTAGCCCATTCGAAAGGTTAAATATAAATTTTTTGTTTAATATATTTTATATTATTTATTGTTAAGTTAAAAAAATCAAAATTACATAATTCTCATTAATTAATTGATAAATATAGGTGTTTAGATAGTTGAGTCAGATTAGGCTGGTTAATCTTTTGAAAGCTTTCCCCAAGGTTCAACCTATTTCAGCGCAGTCAAGAGGTTCAAAATTTTAAAAAATATTGAGATAACAAAAAATTATTAAAATTTTACAATTTTTATATTTTAAATATATTTTAAAATTAAAATTACATAAAATATTAGTATTAATAATTTAATGTTTATGATCAGACTAAAACTCGAAAATCTCTATCAAGGATTTGATTCAAGGGCATAAATCCATTGGACCCGTAGATTGGAATATCAATAAATGACCAATAGCAAGTTTTAACTATATTAAATTTTATTAATTATTTTGGGTTTTGTTTCAACAACACAAAATTTATTTGTCCTCATAAAGACTTTAAGTTAACCTATTACCTTTTTTTAAAAAATGTAACCTATTACTTAGGTAACGATTTAAAAAATATGCTTCTCCAACAATAGAAAAGGGACAATTTGAGGAAT